TTCCCATTGGGCTATTGTGCTGTTATGCTATTGGGCTATTGGGCTGTTATGCTATTGGGCTATTGGGCTATTATGCTATTGGGCTGTTAGGTTTGTTGTGCTGTTGGGCTATTGGGCTGGTTGGGCTGTTTGAATCCTGGTGTTTATTAAACGCAGGAGGTGAGAGTATGGTGCAAAAATTAAAGGTCATGTGACCTATGTTAAAACGATAGATGCCCATGCACACAAGCGAAAGCACCTTTTCCTTCATAGGCACAAAACTATGATCAGAAGTAAGCTCATATACCTTATATTGATGTTTGCCTTGTTGGGTCGTTGGGTCCAACGACAAACCCAACGCAAAAGTTGGATCCCTAAATTGTGACCCATATGTAATATCTTGCTTTTCTTTTCTACAGGTAACCATCAAAGTCCCAAAAAAGGACTCTTAATAACTACTAATATAAACGATAAAATAACAATAATTATATAATAATAAATGCACTGAAAAACCCTAACCTTAAAACTTTACAAATTAATAACCTCTTGTCTTGTCTTGTCTTGTTTTCTGATGAAATTCTGAATATCAACTAAGTAAACAAGGGCTTTAAAATAAATGCTGGTCAATCACTGGTCATAAAAAGCCAAATAAATGATTCAATTTTAAAACTTGTGAAAATTATTTTCAATCTAAGCTTTACTTTTACCAAAATTTCTTTTAATCAATCAAAAATCATGGGTAAAAATCCTGTTATACATTATGTTGTGTATCATGTTACATTACATAACATGTAACATAACAAGATGTTTCATAAAGTTATGTACCATTACATCAGGTTACATAATGATGTTACATAACATAATTACAAATAATTTTTCTTTTAAATAATTTATTTTTATCATGAAGTCTACTTTCACAATTAAGTTTATTGCTTCCACAAATTAATACTGAGATCAAGATTGGAAAGAATAAGAAAAACACTATATATATTTACAAAGGAAGGGAAAAAATTAAGACAAGATGTTGCTACCAGTAATTTTGAAAAATATAAGTTTTGTCAATTTGAAGTAAGACTTACCAAGAAGTAACACAATTGGGGGTCAACGATAAACAATAATTTTTTTAGGAATTGTTAATTATATGAGCTTGTTGGCCTACAAATCTCATCTTCATCCATAGCTTCTTCATAGTATGAAGCGATACGATGTCTTCTGAGTACAGCTATTGCTTCAGCCTCTAGAGGTGTTGCTTTTACACCAAGATCTTCTAAGCCAGGACATCCTTGTGTTAATGTATCTGATAGAAATTGCTGAAACAAACGAAAATGTTGGATATTAGAATATGATATTTATAGAAGATGTTTTTTATAGTATAGCATACTGGATGAATTAGTGTCAGGGTGGATTAATAATTAAGTTTAGTAAAAATACACAGGTGATTATTGAATATCTCGCGCCCTGGTTGGGTTTTATCTTCTTTTTTTTCTTTTCTTTTCTTTTTTTTGAAAGAATCACCTGTGTATTTATACTAAAACAATCATTTACCTCAGCCTACGCTACGACTCAAGTTGTAGGACAGCGCGAGTGTGTTGTATGTGATAGTTGTAGGCAAAAATTGTACCGTCTAAACTGGCCTTAAAGCAATGAGAGTTACAAACATCTTATCCATACTTACCCTGCATAAAATGTCTCTTGTAAGCCGAGGGTCAAAGATAGACCACTCCATCAACCAAGCAATTAACCTGGAAAATAAATCCATCACTTAACCATGAAACAAGAACACAAATTATGATTTATACCCTTGTTTTGTATTCTGGCCCTTTTGTTAAGGGTTAGGCTCAACTTTGTGTAAAATATTCATGTGTTCAAGTGAAGGTCCGTGGAATTTCAAAGTGAATGTATTGTTGAAGCTGTGCATTTTTCTACTATACTACAAAGAATATGAAAATATTCTGATGGCGAAATTAGCCTAACCCTGCAATCAAGGATTGCTGTGGGATATTTTACAAAGGGAAGGCTTTTCAATGCCATTGATGTCTAGATAAAGCTGTATTCATATCACTGTTATATTGAGGGCAGACCATCTACTTACTCATAGGGTTTTCTTGGCATGGAGTAATGTCTATAGTTACACCTCATGATACGGTAGATGTAATCTACAATGTCAGCCAGATAATATTCATTGGGTCTAAAAGAAAATTAAATTACATCAAATTGCTTGCATTTTATTTAATAACTGCTATCCAGAAGTTGGTCAACTTACTACTGTATGTAATGCCTGATAATATCCACACTACTCATCCTTTAACAAGAGGGAACCACCAAGGGGGTGGGTCTAAGGGAGCTTCATTACACAAGTGCATTGTTTCTCCTTTAAAAAAGCATTACTGCTATTGCGAACTCAGTAGCTGCAAGATGAACGCTAAAATTTGGTTTTTTGCTTCTGTCAATCGAAGCAAATCAGTCGGTACCTTTCATATTTTTGGCTGGCGGAAGTGAAAAACCAACTTTTATTGTGCAGCTCGCAGCTACCAAGTTGGCATGTTTATGAAGATGGCAGTAATATGGTTTTGCATGAATATCTGCAGGAAGCTATGCCTGATGGCATAACAACAATATCATTTCCATGAATTCTTTTTCATGAGGAACAATTTAATTATTGCTGGTAAAAACTGCACTTGTCATAATAAGTAAGGAATACTCTTTACTAACCCTACTAATTCATATGTCTTCCCCTCGCTGGTCACATCATTGACTGAATTAACAACTGATTGAGCAATATCAGCAACCTATTACACAAGACATTCAAATAAGAAACTATATGTATGATAAGATATGCTGTATAGGAAAGGTGTAAATAAACCTATCAATCTAGTATTACCAGATAATGATAAACACAGAATATAAAACATGAAGTTATACATACATAGACTGGCATTTTTGTTGTATTCATTCCACCATCGATAAGAGGGATTCCTAAAGGAAGGTTTCTCAGGTCTGAAAATAATTATATCAAAACACCATTACAAATTTATGGTTTTTTTCAAGCCCTGTTTCAGGTATGATTTTTTACAGCAATTTGAGAGGTGACTTTTTCAGCAATTTTGGTTATGGTCAAGAATTATCAAGGATTAACTGGTAAAGTTTTATCCTAGACACCATGATTACCTGGACAAAAGTCTCTTTCGAAGCATAAGACAACACTTCTTATGTTTTAAAAAATCACACCTCAAATTGCAGCCAAAATTGCCCCATGTAAATGAAACCATGTAAACAGGCCTTTAGCAAGGTAAGAGTCCAGCTTCCTTGTTAACATGCATTATAAGTGCATCTATACTACAGTAGACCTATCAATTTGTTTGATGATTCAACCACCAAATGCCTGCTTGCAGGTATATTGCTGCAGGCACAATGCAGGTTGACTGAGACATGACTGGAACACGCAATAATGATATTACTAGAAGCTTACATGCATAGTAGTTAAGAAACTTGTCTTCATGACCAAACACAGTTCCAGGACGTAGAATAGTAGCAGAAGGAAACTCCTCTCTGACAGCTATTTCACCCAATGCCTAGAATATAATATATAATATCAGGTTATATTTCTGTTTTAATAACATGAAAAACATGGCTACCCTGTAGAACCATTGGGCTCACTATGTAATTCTACTAATAATGTTCTTCAATACTCCAGTTTAGAGTTCTCTGGTGCTCTGTTGTTCTCTGTTGCTGAGCATCTGACGCCAGTGAATTAGCTTCATTGATGGATGACAAGAGGATTTGGAGAGGACTAGTGGTTGCCTGCCTTTGGGTGACCAAGTGAGTGAGTGAGTGTGTGTGTTGCTCTGGGTTAGCCTTTTAATTTTGTGCAGAATATTTACACATTTCCATCAAGCTCCATCAAGTTTCAAAGTGTTTGTATTGTTGAAGTTGTGTAATCTTTAGTTTAATGTTGATATTTGTGAATAGCTATACACTGATATGAGGCTAACCATGTGTAAATGAGTCTGTAATCAAAGAACACCGCGGTAATTTGGAACTCGAAAAAAGTCTATTAGCAAACTATTTTGAAACATTATTTTAAGAGTATAATAAAAACTTACACACCTTAGATTGAAGGAACTTTGATGGACTGTTTACATCAGCATTAAGTGCTGATACATGTATCAACCTCTCAACACCAGCATTTTTTGCTGCTCTAGCAATTAACCTGGCTCCATCCACATGAACATCATTAAAGTCAAAGTTCCTGAAATATGCATCAAACAGGAAGGCATTATGAAATGCTTGTGAAAATTCAAGACTTTCCAGGTGAAGTTGTTTACCTTGTTTCAAAGTCCTTTCCAATCAGGTTAATGACTACACTAGAATACTTCACCATTTTTTTAACTGATTCAGCGTCATTAAGGCTGTAATCCTAGTCATAAAATGAACGAAACAAATGAACAAGACAAATAGAAAAATGAATATTTTTATGTGATTTTATTATGATATCTCAGTAGTTGTGAGTTTCTCATTGGAATTACTGAATGATTGTTTTGATTGACGTAAGCAAAAAAAAAATTTCAGCCTGCATCTTGCAACTTCAGAGTTAGCACAATAATGAAATATTGTTCTAATTGGATGAGCGGTAAACTTGCACAATGAGGCCAGTTCAATGGATGCTGTCATTACCATGAAAATTTGTCATGTTGTGTCATTTCAAAAAATCTACACTAGTTCACTTACAAAGAAACTAATTTGTCCTAGGTCACCCATGAGTCGCACATGTCTGACATCATGTGGATCTCCCCTGTACGGCACAGTTAGCTGGGTGCCTATTCTGCCTACAAACAATAAAGAAAGCATAAATAAACTTAACAATATCTTTCTCATAAATCAGATAAATAACAGATCAGTTCAGCATGTCTACAGTAGTTGCGTGACTGATTTCATCCAGATGATCACAAGAAAGATCATAAAGTCCTACCTAATCATCTGTTTTTTATTTATCTAATTAGATCAGATATGAATACTTACTAAGTCTGTTCACTACATATCTTCCGAGGAATCCAGTGGAACCAAAAACAGTTGCTGAAACTCCACTGAAAGATGATCTTCCTCCTGTTCCTTGTTTAGGCAGGTAACTTAGTTTTCTCTATAAATATTGGCGATAAAAACTGCAATTAGTGCACGACCTAGAAACATGTAAATTGTTATCAACCAATCTTAATAATTGACATTTAATCACTTCTTACCTGAGCAACTACTGCCAAACCAACCACTGGCTTTGCTGGACTTCCTGATATCAATAAATAAATGAACCGTTAGAAGTTCAATAGATATTTGAACAATTTGTAAATTGATGTACAATTTTAAAACCAGTCGTAAGATGCAATAAATTTACTTATAAACAGCTGAATAGTAGCCGAAATTTCTCGTAAAACAAGCCGTAGTCTTAATAAATCCTTTAAATTACATTTACAAGCAACAGTAATAATTTAGAGGGATAAATAAAGGGGAAACTCACGAGCAACAAGCCTCACTCCTCCTACAACCAACATGGCGGCCAACAAGAAATGAGCCCACAAACACTACAGTCAGTGGTAATACCACCAGGCCCTCACGGCCAGGGTAGGCTTCTCATGTTTGTTCAATGATTAGAAATAATATATATAAAATAATGACAGAAAAGCAGAAAACCCGTTATTATAAAGACACAGAGCATTTCACAGACATATGTGAAGGTATTGAGATTATTCGTAGCTGCTTTTTTGAGGTATTTTTGGTGATTGATTCACTAAGAGAACTGGAAGTAGAGTTGTGTATTTCAACTCAAATCTCTTTCTGAAAAGAACTGACAAAGATGAATATCAATGGCAATAATATCCTAAATCATACTCTCCGCCTTATTTTGTACATAAATAGACTTTGACATGAGTATAACGGTGGACAAGGATGAGGAAGACGTCGCTGTTCTGGTTGAATCTTTGAAAAATTGCCAAACTTTGGACCCGTACGTCAGGAAAGAAGCATTTTCAGCCTTGCGAACTCTTCTGTCAAATAAAAGTAAGCTGAAGTTAAAATCTGTATGAAAATTACAAATTATGATAAACGTCTTATACCATCAGTTAAAATCCCGTTCTTCTACTAGCATAATTAACATTTGCTGGCTCGCAATTATCACTCATTGAGAGACTGTATTTTAGAATCTACACAAGATTTTTTCCGAGAGTTACAAGGGGTGGAGCTGATGATCTCAATATACCAGGATGGTAAAAATCAGAAGGATTTGGAAGTCATGGAAAACGCCCTCTTCACACTAGGAGTAGCAGTAGAAAAAAATGGCAAGTTATTTATATATCAATGACAACCTTTGGACTAGTCTTATTTGATGACTTAAGATTTTTTTCTTTTTTAGATGTCTCAAGAAATGCACTTCTAACACCAGAGTTATTCAAGTTGATCAAGGGAACAATGAAAAGAAAGTCAACTTCTTCACTAACATCAGCATTTCTTTTGTTGTGCTTGGTATCAAATAGTGGTATAATAAACGTTGTTCTAGTATTTAGCTCAGCAAAGGCACTATTAACTACTACTGTTAATACTCACCGCTGCAGTAAGCTTACTTGCCTTACTAGCATTAGTTATTTCTGTTACCACCTGAAATATGACTTGATTTCTCATCATTCATCCAAGGTGATGGTCAGACACTCGCAAGAAAAACAAAGTGCATTCACAAACTCTGTGAATTGCTGAAGTAAGCTATCTCTTTTGTGCTCCTAAATATGATCAAATTAAAGAATATTGATTGATAACATTGCAAGTATGTCTTTGTACCTTAAAGGGAGACTATTGTTGACAGTAATGGCACAGAGCAGTTTTGCAAAATCACCAATGCTATATGCAGTACCTTGTGTGCAGTAAATATTGATCCTATAAATGGTGAGACTATACATATATCTATTTAATCCCTGTAATAATCATTTTATTCGATGATTATTAAATGATTGTCTTACTAATGAGATTTATTTTTTCCATCTATCAGAGACAAACCAAGGGGTCTGCTGTGGACTGATAATGCCATCCATTGTAAGATGGCTGTATTCAGATATCAGTAGACATAGCCTTCACTCACTCATCAGTTTGCTTGGCTCCTGCATTAATGGAAATAGTAATTATTAGTGAACATAGTATACTTGTTGACAATTCAGTTACTTTTGATGATTGACTGTCAACTAACATCAGGCAACTGTTGGCTGTCAGGTGTCCTCCATTTGATGCTTAACAGTTGTTTTATGTAATTAGTTATGATCCTCAACCAGGATCTCTCATTCTGTTGAGGTCATACATGTATAACCTTTTATTGAATTTTAGGTAAGACCAAGACACAACTTCGCCTGGTTGGTGGTTTAAGGGCAATGTTTGGTGTTTTAGATAAGTATTCGTCTACAGAGGAAGTACAGAGTACTGAAGACATCTGCCTTTTGACCCAGCTTATCAATACTTTCTCCTGTTCTTATGTTTCTCATGGTAAATATAAGGTGATTTTAGATGAAGCTTCTTCATTAACAAAACAAGCACCTGTACTTGTGAAATTTTGCCCATTTTTCTGACATTTCAGAAGCAAACCAACTTCATGCTATAGAGCTGGGGGCTGTAGAAGTACTATTGTCCTGTCTCGTTAATGCTGGAATACAACATGCACAGCTACAGAAAACCTGTATCACTGCTCTTGTGAGTCTGTTAGACAATGAGGACTATGGTAAGAAGATAGATATACCAAATACATTTGTTATCATTCAGTTACCCATAAACATATGCAGGAAATACCTAAAACTCCCTCAGAGATTATCTAGATGTCCCCTGCTCCCAGGAAGTCTCATAGAATAAAGTGCAGATCTAGAAATTACTCTTCTCTAACCATCCCTAGCCTGTGCTGCCCAACTTTTACTCTGGTTAAGATGTTTGGCTGCACCAACCCTAATCATTTTATTGAACAACTTATTGCCTTAATGACTCAAGATGATTGTGTTTCCTGGTAGAACTTGGTAAACAGAAGTTTCAAGATCACAAAGGTGTTCCAGTTCTCATTGAAATCATGGCAGCCAGTCAAGTATGTTAACAACAGTCTCACACCAAGTAACATTATTCTCATTTCCAGAGCCTGCACCATTGCCAGCATTGCCTTCCACCGGCTGGCAATAGCACAGGCTCTGGTTACAAGAATGCAAGTAGTATCATCATGAATGCAAGTTAGAAACTAGAGGAGTTATCGAATAATTGTTTATTTTTAGGATGAAAAGCTCAAGAAACTTGTGACATTTTTGCTACACAAAATGTGCAGCAATGAAGGTTATTATCTTAACTTTATAGTTATTTTTGTATGACATGTTCCATTTGCCTATAATACTTTCCATTCAAATATTTTTCAGGGTTTAACACTCAGCCATCCTCAGATGTACTAAGTAAACAAGCTATGACAGATTTATGCACTAACACTACTGACAATGTGTATGGAGAGACTCGAAAAAGCACATTGGAAAGAGACCAAAGTCAAAACCTTGATTGTGCTTCAAGAAACCTTCTTATCAAGGAAACAGTAGATGAAAATAATGTCTCTCTAGTTAACTTTTCCAAGAAGAGAGATGACGATAGCTCTAAGACTACATTACATGAACATTTCGAAAATGGGCATGAAAAGAAGTCACTGGAATGCAGGTGCAAGAGCACAATAGATGTTGACAGTCATACAGTTCTAACAGTGCTTCTAATGCATTCTGATGTATGTGAATACCATAAAGCTATTGGGCATGCATTACAGGCATATATTACAAGGGTAAGGTCATTATTTTCTTTATTTGGTTCTTTCCACAGGTCTTTCTGAGTTTCATAAGCAGGGTGCAATAGATATGATAAACCCAAGATAGACCACAATGCACCATGTCTATGCTTTTTGTCTGCTTATTTATGGGAGAGAATCCCTCCTGAGAACCATTCAGCCCTGGTGAGAGACAGGAATGTTACTCACATACTTCAAAAAACACAGACACATCAACTTATAATCTTCTCTTCTCTTTATTGACAGAAAAAAGAGTTGCTAGCAGCATCTGTTGAGTAACAGACAACATTTCAGGGAAGCTAAAATGACAAACCAGCAACCATTAACTTATGAGTATGTGAGGACATGTTGTCTCGAAATCAAACACAACACTTTTTACTCTCTCTGCAAACGGTATTAAAGGTACTTTCAAAAACTGCAACTCAGTTAAAACCAGACAGACTGTATTGTTTTTCTTGCAAATTTTTTTAATGCATAGACTGGATTTGTACAATAGTCTTATAAAAATAGATAATCAAATATTTGAGTTGCGCTTCCTCCAGGAAGACCCAGAAGAAAAGACTATTTTCTGTGCAGCTGTCCTTTTCTTGCACCTTGGAGGTCTTGGAGGAAGACCTTCTGCTCCAGGAGGGTGTGGCATGTGAATGACGAAGGGTGGTGTAGAATGCATGCTAAGTGTAATGGGGTGAATATCAGATTGATAACTAGTGATTATGTTTGGGCTGGATTGAGTCCTGCTTAAGGTGGATTTCTGTATGTCTCCTTGTTTAGAAAAATCTTCACTTGTGCCAGAACTCTGAATTGGTTGATTTGGTAAATAATGTTCCTGTTGGGAAAAGAAAAGAAAACAATGTTTAATAGATGGTTCATCACTTCAAACTACTGTTAGCATCTGATGTGCCTAATGCAGAGGAGCAAGGGAAAGAGATCCTCCTTCACAATGTTTTAAGATATGAGTTTATCTTTTGCATCCTTTTAAAATTCAATTTTTTCTTTCATTGAAATTTATTATTATCATGAAAATATTCTTGTCCTCAAATCAGGGTCCAAGGAGCATTCAACTTATTTAGAAGAAAGTATAAAAATACTCACCATTTTTGGTACAGAAGGGATTCTCCTGATATGTCTAGGGGCTTTTTTCTCTCTGTTCAGCTGGGCTGTCCTTCCTCCCATAGACAAATTAGGATGTGTGCTGGGTAACAAGGTATTGCTGGTTCCATCAGTTGATGTTCTTGGTTTTAAATGACTCACACTATTTTGTTCTACATCTCCATGCACAGAGTTTCTTGCAGATGACAAAGGTTCTTTACTTTTTAATTCCTTTTCAGTTTTGCTAATATCCACAGACCTGGAATGAATCCTTGAAGTACTCCTCATAGTACCTGTACTACTTCGTCTTTCTGGATTCAATCCTTCATCATTGTCACTTTTTTCTATCACTATATTACATAGAGACTTGCTCATATGAAGTGGTTTTCCTGGTAGCTTAACAGACTCTTCACTGGATGTTTTTTTCAAACTGTTTCTTTCCTTTGCATGTGTTTTATCAGTTTTATGTTTGGTATATGTATGAGCTGACTGGCTTCTCTTTTTCTTGACAACATCTTCTGCTGATCTGTCTTTCAGCTGAGACTGTTTTTGTTCCATACCCGTTACCACCGTAATATTTCCTTTTAAGCTGCCCTTTTCAACTCTCATGTTGCTGTCTGCAGATATTTTTGGTACTTCATTTTGAACAGTATTTTCAGTACTTCTTTCTACTAGGTAACAATCCTTTTCTGTGTGTCCATTATGGTCTGTTTCACTTTCAACAAGGTTAGTAGGATCTATTTTTTCATTGACAATTTCACACTGAATCAATTCTGTGTTATTGTCCATCATAGTACAGTCTTTTTCTGTGTACGTACTTCCATCATTTTCATCAACATCTTTAAGTTCTGAATTTTCCTCTGTAATGTTACCATTACTTTCATCAAATGAAACATCCACACTGTCCTTCTGTGGCTCAAATAGATTATCAGCTGTAGCAACAGGGATGTCAACATGAGGGGGTGTCCAGTCCCAAGTGTTTGTTTTTGCATCAGGAGATACAATACATGCAACATGCCATGCACCACAAGCTACCTGGATTTATTGGAAATAACAACCTTTATCAAAAAAATACTCAACATCAGCCTTCCTATATTCATTAATACTATGGGGAGTGGGGAGAGTGGATATATTCTACCACAGGAAACCCAACAGACAAACAAAAAGTACTTTTAGAATTTGTGATTGATTTAAAAAAATGAAAAACTTTTATTTTTCTGGTAAGTTGTAAAAGAAATGGATTTCAGCATGTACACTTTTTTCAAATGTACTCAGTAAAAACAAAAAAAGATTTAGCATTAATAATTTCATTCACTTTATGACATTTGGTGGCTCTTAAAAGAGCCGTTTTTTTGTTGTCGCTTTTACTTTCTTGTTTAGTGGGCTTTTTTCTCGGACTTCTTGGGCAGAAGAACAGCTTGGATGTTAGGTAAAACACCTCCCTGGGCGATCGTCACACTGCCAAGTAGTTTGTTCAACTCTTCATCATTTCTGATGGCAAGTTGGAGGTGACGAGGAATAATTCTAGTCTTCTTGTTATCACGAGCTGCATTACCAGCTAATTCTAAAATCTCTGCAGACAGATATTCTAGAACAGCGGCCATGTAAACAGGAGCGCCAGAACCGATTCTCGCTGCGTAGTTACCACGCCGCAGAAAACGATGAACACGACCAACTGGGAACTGAAGACCAGCTCTTGAAGAACGAGACTTGGCTTTGCCTTTGGCTTTTCCACCTTTTCCACGACCAGACATGCTTTATTTTCGGTAGAACTTAGAGGTAAAATAACGATACGAGAGCGTAAAATAGAATGAACTTCCAGTCAAGGTAGAGAAGTTATGTCGAGCTTGCAGCAACAATACGATCGAAATCCACCAATCACTGGCAAGCTTTCAGTTCAAAACACCAATCATAATCCTTGCGAGTGAAACAGTAATGATCCAATCACGTTAATTCTAAAAATGAGCGTTTTCCGTTTAGGTAAGTATTACTTTTAACCAATCATCGTTGAGCGTTTTTGATCCGAAAACTGACTGAGGTAAGTATTACTTTTAACCAATCATCGTTGAGCGTTTTTGATCCGAAAACTCGCGGAAAAATGTAACATTTTTTTATGAATCAGCCAATCATGATCAAGAGACACTAGCAAAACTGGACGTTTTTCTAAGAGGTTCGGATACGTTTCAACCAATAGCAGAAGAGTATCCGGTAATCCATTCAAGTGCTGTATTTTCGATCCTTTCATCGTAATATAAATAGAAGTCAACTCGACTTCACATTTTATTCTACTTCACCAAATTCATTCTAGAGTATCTTGAAGTGCCAATTATCTAACGTCAAAATGCCGCCTAAAGGTTCCCCAAAAGCATCGAAGAAGATGATCAAGAAGTCAGGAAAGAAGCAAGGAGGAGATAAGAGAAAGAGGAACAGGAAAAGGAAGGAAAGCTACAGCATTTACATCTACAAAGTCATGAAGCAGGTTCACCCAGACACTGGTATTTCAAGCAAAGCCATGTCCATCATGAACTCCTTCGTGAACGATGTCTTCGAGAGAATTGCCTCAGAAGCCTCTCGTTTGGCTCACTACAACAAGAGATCGACTATTTCTTCTCGTGAAGTGCAGACTGCAGTTCGTCTTCTCCTTCCCGGTGAACTTGCTAAACACGCAGTTAGCGAAGGCACTAAAGCCGTCACCAAGTACACCAGCAGCAAGTAAACCAACAACAAAACAAAAGCAAAACGGTTCTTTTAAGAACCATCCACATCTAGTAAAGTGAATGATCCAAATATGCTGATTGAATTAAACCAAAATTGAACGTTCTCTTTCAAAGTCAATTTAAGTATGGAAAATAATTACTGAAAATAAAAATAACCGTCTTCTAACAAAATAGTTTTTAAACTTTTAAAAATGATTTCAAATATTTCGGTTTTTTTTCTTTTCGAAATATCCGGACTATTAATTTCAAAATATACAGCGTAGTGTGCAACCATGCCATATGATTCAAAATGCCTTGAAATATGAATAACAATGAAACAACCGCCATGTTTGTTGATCCAACAAGAGAAACTAATGGTTGTTATGACGTAACATTTTCATTTTGACTCTGTCAACGTATGGTTGTTGGGTACCCTGTGTACCGGTGCATTACCCCACCCTTATAATGTATGCAATTAGGCTTTGGATCATTTTTGACGTCATTTCATGTTCGATTACAGTACAGACCCATAGAAAACTGACTTCGATTTGTTAACTAGAGGTACGGCATTCTCCTTTTCCTTACCTTGGTTACTTTCCACTTACCAAGGGGTACAGGGTGGGGCTGATATTGACAATACCTTGGTCCTTCATCCTCACGGATTACTTGGCTCTGGTTTTTACCCCACATAAAAAGTCTTCCACTCTCTGATATGAAAAAAAAAAAGAATTATGTAACTTATAATCTGTTGCCCTGTTAAAAGAGCATGTGGTCTAAGGGGAAGAATGGGCCTTATACTTAGGGAAGGATGGGAGGAGTTAAGAGAGAGACATGATTTATAAATTGCAGCTTTCTTCTTCAACATGCCAAAATGAAAATTACCTGTGACAGCAGCTGAGGTATTTTCTCCTATTGAAATATTGATGATGTTTTCTTCAGCTAATCCATCCTTTATTTCAGTGGGTTTGCTTGAAAACTTAACATTAGTTCCCAGGCCTAACTGACCCTGAAAAATGAAGCATGTCACACAGCAAGTTTGAAAAATTAAGATCGGTTAACTTACTAAAATAAGTCTATTTCTCACAATCGAAAACATAGTTGTTACCTCAAAATTGTTGCCCCAAGACAAGAGTTTTCCATTGTTTAGCAGTAATAATGAATGTGAATCTCCACCAACCAGACCTGATACACTTGTAGAATTATCACTCATGTATACTTTAGCAGGAGATAAAATATCTTCTTTGGATCCAAAGGCCTTGCCATAACCCCAAGCATACACATTCCCTTCTCCTAAACAAAGTTCAAAATGACTTGAATTAATATTTGTCAAATTCATAGACATAGCTTCTAAACTATTTTTTGGGTGGGGCTTGACACAAGGAAAAATTATTTGGATATGAATGGATGTAACAAAACGTATATTTTCATAACTCTGACAATGGGTTACTCTAACTATGTCCCTTTGGTGCCAGGTTAAGTAGTAAGTTTAGTATCTCCCTGGTCTATTCAATTTAATCAATCAATCATAAGATTATAATAAGATTAAGATTATTATTTACAGTCTGTAATGGCCAGGAAGTCCAGGAAGGGAAAAGCTGAGGTCTTAATTACATAGACTGAGGCTGTAAGGCTGGTGCCCTTTTCAAGGCTGGGTAGTACAGTTTTTCCTTTCTGTACAGACTTTAGGTACAGTACACGACCTTTTTGCCATTTATTTTTCCACTTGTTTTTATTATCATGTTTTGTCATATAACAATCCCCAGAATACTGGACTATGGCCAGACTGCAGCCATAGATAGAAAATACTGCCTGCTCTAACACCCAATCACAACACATGATTTTGAGGATGCCATACTGGAATGTATTACAATAACTCACCGTCTGCTGCCAGACAGTGGCAGTTTCCACAGCCAATAATGAAAACATTTGAAATATCAGCAACCCTCTGAATACAAACACTGTCTGTTTTGTCAGAATGTCCCAGTTGACCTCGATCATTACTTCCAACAGAAGCAACACTTCCAGAATTAAAAAGAAAGAGTGAATGTCTTGAGCCACAAGCAACTTGAAGGATTTTTTGATTGAAGAGGGTTTCTAGGTAGACTGGCCGTACCTACATGAAAACATGAAACCTTGTATAGTAAACAGTTATCAACTATCATCTCAGACTCACCCTAGCAGTAATATTAATAGCCCTTAATAATATCCTAGGATCCATCACTACTAGAAAAGCTAGAACACTAGTAAACTATACAGGTGCATCCTGCATGATTTGAAATTTGTCATGTCTGTACATGTTACACCTTTTAATTAATTGCCCTGTGAATATACAGCAAATAAAGCAATCCTTCAATCCTTCCCTACCTGGTTTTCTTTGAAATCAGGTTTCCTGAAATCATATCCAAGCTGAGCACTAAAGTTGTTTCCAAAACTAAAGCAGTCCCCTTCTTCTGTCCATATAAAAGTATGCCGAGTGCCGCATGCCACACCTCTTATTCTGGTGCCTGGTTTGATCCCTAACTGTACGAGATGTGGTAACATTGTGGTCTTGGTATCTCCGATTCCTAGTTGTCCACTGTTACAGTTGCCCCAGCTAAAGATTCTGTTGTCATCTATAAAAGTTGAATGCAAATATCAAATAATTTGATTAGTATATTGAATTGCATCCAACTCAATAAGGACTGCATTCCTTTGTAGTGATTTCATGGATGGCTATAATTTATAGGATTACCTGTGATAACGATAGTGTGACTTGACCCACAAGCAACAAGAGCTACAAGACCATCTTGTCCTAATATCAAATGGTTCATACACCCAGCTGTGATTGTCACATCATTCTGATGTCCATGTCCATGTTGACCAAACTCCCCACAACCCCAGACCAGCAATAACCCTGCATCCTCATCACTAACATCGAACTGGCTTTCTTCACCTGATGTTAATTCAGATGATATAAGAATGCCTTCATTTAGATGTTGAGTTAAGTCTGTCAATGGTGGAAAATCTTGGTCAGCTGTATCATGGACCTGGAAGCTGTTTTCCTGGGGCAGGCTGCAGTCTTTTTGGAGCTCAGTAAAACCCGCTGTCTGTAGCTGTTTGTTATTAATCCTTAGAACGTCCATTGCTTTTTCGAAACAATAATTCATACGAGTTGTTGGCAAAAGAATATGCAATAGTAAAATACGAATTTCTCAATTAATTGCCAATAAAAATAAGCTGTACATCATCAACGGGTACACAAATGGCATCGATCTTCTTCTATGCTCTTGTTTAATTTGAAGTGGCAGTTTGCTGTGTTTTTTATCTTTGTTGTTCATGGATAGTTGTCAAAAATTTCCATTGGTTACCAAGATATTAATAAATCCAATTATACTACTTCCATCTGGTTAGTACATAAGATACACACGTGACTGATAAATTATCTGTTTTGTTAGCCATAACGGCAAAGATATAATTAAAGCCCTAACGCATTAAAGTTAAAGCGAAATATATCGAATATATTTCGAGTCCGCCATTTGCGTTCTCTCGGTTGTTTACCAACGACCTCGTAATTCGTGTATGATTCGGAACTAATCGTACATAATCGGATACTCTCGGAACTCGTTCGTGCTTGTCTGAAGGGTCGTCTGACGGAGGTTGGTAATACGTCGTCGAACTCTTTGATAATATTTTCCGTTGCAAAATGTAGGGCGAAATATTTCTGTTTTTTAACCATATATAATCATTATGGATTCCTTGATTGATCCTTTTAGAGCCCTGCTTCTTAGTATCGCCAATGATTGTACTGATGAGGACTTTACCAACATGAAATTTCTGTGTTCTGGATGTCTTCCTGAAGGAAGGTTGGAAGACATTTCTTCGCCTAGGGAACTTTTTATAGAACTTATTCACGACTGTATCATCAGTAAAGACGAGAAACAGCCTTTAGCTTCTCTACTTTTTAACATCGGAAGACAAGACTTGAGGAATCGACTGCTTGGGAAAGAATGTGAGTTTTTGATTACTTCTTTATCGTACGTATCAATAATATTTTTTTAAACCATAGAATAGCTTAGAAAATGCAGGTGTCGCTAAAATTAGCTGTATCAAAAGCAATCATCATTTGTGAATTAGCTGCTTACCTCTTTTATTTACAAATACGTTAAATAGTTCCTATATTTTTGTACATGATGATGAAATTATACAATGGAGTTTGGCTTCATTAATATTGTACAGCTCCTTTCAATGATGTTGAAATATTTGAATGTATGATTTTCTATTTTAGCTCCTACTTTGGCTGGTGCATTTCAGCACTGGGGTGGCTTGCCGATGAAAATTCCCAATTTTGTTGATCGAAAAGATGAATGCCAGGAAGTATTATCCAAGCTGAGGAGAGGGACATGCAAAGTCGTAATGATCATTGGTCCGCCAGGGTTCGGCAAATCAAGCGTTGCTATTCAGGTTGGCCATGATTTATGTCTTCATGGAATATCAGTGTACTACATATCACTGAGAAGCTGCACCTCCATGTTCTGTATGGTCAACTATTTACTTGGTGCTTTGAGGATTGTCGCAAGTGAGAAACCAATCAAGCAAGCTATGCATTGTCTATGTAACTTGACAACAGACACAGTCATTATCCTGGACAATGCTGAAGACATGTTGCTGCCTCCCATTAAGGATGAATTCTGTGGATACATTGAGAATGTGGCACAAACTGCTCAGTTTGTGCGTATTTTGGTTACCAGTCGAATGTCAATGACATTTTTGAATGTGGATTCGCATGTATTACGACTTGATGCTTTAGAAAGAAAAGATGCTCAAAAATTACTGAAAACATTTCGTTCTAATATCTCTGATGATGATTCTGAGGTACTTGCTGATTTATGTGGTGGTGTACCCCTTGTGCTTCGTACAACTGCATCCCTTCTTGCAAATGAAGGAACAGTTCATCCTAAGGCTCTGATATCTGAGTTCCAGAGAAGCCCTGTTTCTACTTTGAAGTCATTTGACTTATTGACACTATCACATGACCATCAGATTTTCTACTGCCTTAATATTTGTTTTGAACGACTCTCTCATGAGCTTCAGTTGGCCTTAATTTCACTTTGTGTGTTCCCAACTTCATTTACATTGCATGATGCACAGTTCATTTTGAAAGAACACTCAGAGTTTTACTTAGAACTTCATCTTCAAGAACTGATTAATAATTCACTGCTGCAATTTGATCCTGTAATGAAAGAATACACCATGCATGGAGTGATTCAGGCGTTTTGTAAAGATAAAACAACCACTAAAGCTAGTAAGTACCAATGGAAGTATGAATTTGCTAAGAAGGAATTTAATTGTCATTACCTGGAGCTATTGCCTCAGCTACAAGAACAGTTCATTTCCAAGAAGGCACTAGCAGCTGTAGAGAATTTCCTTGCAAAGAGGCGTCATATTAGACAGGCCATGCTGGATGCTGTAAATGATCCTGAACTGGAAAAAACCTGCATCGATACTGCTAATGCTGTTGCACCTTTCCTGACAAAGGTCCTGAGGAAAGAGAAGTTCTTAACAATCTTTCAAGTGTACACAAAGATATGTAAGGACAAAGAGGATGAAAAAAGATACAGTGATTGTTTGACATCAGAAGCCTATTGCATTTTGTCACATTGTGCCTGTCATCTGCCTTGTCCAACTGCTGTGTCCAGGTTCAAAGAAGCAGATGCCATTCAAACCAAACTTGAAGATGAGAGTTCTACAATCCGTTCTCATTGCCTGATAAAACTTGGCCGCTGCGTTGCTCATTATGGTGATCTGGACAAAGGTATTACACTGATTAAGAGAGGCATAGGAATACGGGAGAAGATGAATGATCCAGTACAGCTCGCCGTCGCATACAAAGATTTGGCAGGTATTAAGATTACTTTTATTCAAATTTTCTATTTACATTGTCATATATAGCAAAAGTCCAAGGCAAGAGGGTTCATCACATATATATCTGGTACTTTCCATTAATACAAGGGATTAGTTGTATTAGAGCTTTTTAGAAAACTATATTACTCAATCATGTCAACTTTCGTTTTCAAAAAGGATATGTGAAATAGAAAGTGGATTTTTAAAATTGCCGGTACTCCATTCCCACACTACCATACACTTTGGCCTGCATGCCAGCTGAAAAAGGTGGGGGATGGGGGGAGCTGTGGGGAAGGTGAGGAGGGGGAATGACCTTGTTGCCCTGACAGCCCCCCCCCCCTCCCCAATCCACCAGTACTCTGGGCTGATATGCAGGCAAGGTTTTTTAGTCTATTGCTGCAAAGATTAGAACTGAGATGGAGACAACTTCATTTCATATTATCTGGTTTTTTCATGCTGCAAATAAGTGGGCTTCCTCTGGTTAATCATGGGCAGGGGAACATCTAAAGCATCTAAAATGTCTAAATGTCTACACATAAATAAAGTTTATTTTGGTAAAATATCTAAAATATCTAAAATATCTGGGAAATCTCATGATCATCTCTAGCCTTACCTACATAGTTCCCTACTCATTTTCCCATCCTATCCTGATCTGTTTTGTTTTTCCTTTCCAGCTTCCTACTCATTTCATAAGCAGCATCATACAGCAAACAGGTTGCGAGTAGAGAAAGTGTTACCTGTCTACAAACAGCACCTTGGTGACCACGCATACACGGCCACCTTGATGGATGACATGGGAATGTCTTGTATGGCTCTCTCCAACTACGATTGTGCTAATACATACATTAAGGAGGCTGTTCGCATGCGTGTGAAGGCTCTTGGTGATCATCAGGAAACTGCTCGCTCGTACCATGATTACGGTACTGTCCTCAAGGCTCAGGGTAGATATGATGAAGCTCTGGTGGCCATCCGAGAGGCTCTGCGGATCCAGGAAAATATACTAGGTGCCCATCATGAAACGATAAGATCTCACCAGGAAATTGCAAATGTACTCAAACTACTGGGCCGAAATGAGGAAGCATGCAATGAAACTAAACTAGCAGAATCCAAGAAAAAAGATTTACAAGATGAAGAATGATGCAACATTGTAAGTTTTTAGGCCAGCGAGAAAAAATAATTTAGAAAATGAAAGGAAATGATATGACGTTGAATCTCCTCAGGTTAACAATGGAACTAAGTGTGAAAAAAGTCGATATTGAATGAGAAAAAATGATAAAACATTTTGAATACAAGAAGCTGATATCAGCTGGTAAGCTAATATTGAGTGTGAAAATAGTATAATTATTTGGTATTTACAAAAATAATAATATGACTGAAGTAAATAAGGAGTTAATCCTTAAAAAAAATTAAGAAAGACTTGCTTGAATATTTACTAGCCTTATATATGTTTAGAAATAGAATTAAAATGAACTTTAGACATGCAGGATACCTTTCAAATTAGCAAAATACTATTTGTTATATCTTTATTTGCATTTTTTTGTTTTAGAGTGTTTTTTTTTTCAAAACTAGTTTATTTATTTGGCCGTTTATTTTAGTTTTATTTGCTTTGTGCTTTGTTTGCGCTTTGTTTAAAGATGTCTAAAAATCTAAATAAATCATTATTTTGAAAGAATTTGATTCTTTCGAAAGAAAGTGTTGAGTCAAGCAATTTCTTAGTTACAGGAGCAAGATGTTGCGCAATAGGCAGGGTCCGACGTCTTTCTTCAGCGATGACGACCTGTTCTCGTGGATTAAAGTACCTGTTTTACTCGGTCAGTGAGAGCTTAGAGGAAACCGCTGTTGCAATACTTATACGTGCCCCCACTGCTTTACCAGTATGAGGGGGATACAGTTTGTTTTGATCCTATTCACCATAAGGAAAAGAGGGGACTTTGAAGTTTAAAGTTAAAATCTTTTTTACAAACCCAACCGGGTTTACAAGCGTCGTCGCCGTCCTGTCCAATGTTTATGTTACTCACAAATCAAGGCACAGCAGGTCTTCTCTCATCGTGCTGCACAGACGAGAATTAACATTCAAGTTTAACAAAACAGACGGTCGGCATCTTTTCAAACTAAAACTAGCTTAATATCTGGTTAATATGATAAATGAACAAAGAATAACTAGATAGCATAAACAGTATTGGTATCAGAGTACAACACCGCGGGGTGTAAGCATGTCAATGGACGTTTGGAATTATGAGAATTAGAGATGAACAAACATAAAGGACTCACAGCAGGGAGTAAGTCTTTGTTGGTGTGTCTTAATGATAATTTACTTCCTTAACTTGGACTAAAAGATGTCATGGATAAACTATGGGCGTATTTTAGCGCTTAATTGTCGTTTTAATAACATTTACTAACAGCATAAAGCGAATAAGCTGATTAGTACCTTGATGATTTTTGGTCATTAATTATGTGAGTTTAGTTTCAAGTAAGGTAAGTATGAAAATAAGCGAAAAATCAGATACACTGAAAATATTCTGGAAGGTCATCAGAGGGTCTACATGGCCAGTGTGGTCAACCAACCAAATATAAAAAGCTTGTACTTGATCATGAAGTGGGGCTCAACACTTTGAGATAAAGAAAGTCAAGTAAACACTTAGTAAAAGTTTTGTTTCTCTTATTCAAAGCAAGTGGAAAGTTAAACTGAATGGATGTCTTGCATATTTGCTCTTGCTTTACCTGGTGTGTTTCACTTTTAATGGTGTACTAAAAAAATGTACCCTACTGATGTATGATTATTAGGGAATATACTCATGCGATAGAGATTTACGAGAATTAAATGAATTCTAAATTTATTTTGAAGTTATGGGTCCTCTCAGGTCTCAGAAACCTTGAGAAGGTGAATTGATGGGCGTTGTGACGGTGACTCGGCCTATAAAACTAGAAGGTCAAAGTGCTCCATACAATCTCTTTAGTTAATTTAGCTACTGAGTTGAGCACTGCTTAATCAGTTCGATCATGAGAAGGACGCAGGCTTTAGGGTCAGTGAGCTTTTTGGTCTGGAATGGCTTCCTATGTCGCATCCGACCTGACTCTTTCTCTGTGTGGATGCGAAATAGGAATGGCAAACCTTCACTAGATTGGTCATGCTATTATTCACTGTATATAGATAAAGTATACCATTCAGATATATGCATATGAAGTAACCACAGTCTTTGCAGACTACGAACACTTGCCTCATAACGACGGCGGTAAAGGACCCACTTCATTAACCAACATGGTGGACGACAAATGTTTCGCCTGAAATACTAAGTTCAAGTCATGCAGATTTATCATGCACCGTTTTGACCGCAATATACGACAAAATGTGTCTAGAAAGATACCATGGGTAATTTGTCAGGGGAGTAGGATCGGGATCGGTCAAACTGCCAAATTAAAGCCAAATATTATTAAGCAGGTTTTACTGTGACGGCATTTTTTGGTTAGTAATATTGAATCGTTCCGCTTTCACTCATATATTTCCCTTGTTGCAACATCTTGCTTACTCGAACTAGTTTTAGTCAGTAATCAATAAAACTGGCAGTACGAAATTGCGGTAATTCCCAATCGATGAATTGATAGATATTTTAACGAAATAAAACCGACTTTCGTCTGCAGATATCTCAAGACTGAGTATTTTCGATGATAGACTGATGTATGCATCCAATGACCGACCAGCTCAGGCAGGTGTAGACGGCGCATGTGAGTTTGACGAACCCCGCTGTGCAAGCTGCGCTATTATCAGTTTAGAGTAGATGCTTGGTGTTTTTTAATTTGTTTGAAGTTGATTTACAATAAAGACCGACTTCCCTACAAACTAGGATATTCATCTGGTAAACTCAAGAAATACTAATGGATAACTAAAGTTCGAGAACAAATAAACCAACTTGTTCAAACCCAAACCTCTAGATTTGATGTGAATACAAATAATACGCCAAAATTAAGCATTTGCCAAGTTTCCTTTGTTCAATTTAGCGGACACAAATACCTCTTGAAATCGAATCAACTGAGGTTTTGTGACACTAAATTGATATTTTTCTTGGTTCGACATAAAAAAATCGACAAAAAGAGTCAGTTTGTACTGTGATGATGTTTATGGATTCTCCACGGAAGTCCCTAAACAGGTTACTGACGTGAAGATGAAATATCGCGGCCATGCGAATGATTGAAGGTGAAGGGTAGATTGTTTACGAGAAAGAAAACTGGTTAGTTTGTGTTCGTAGCTGATAGACATGAGAGAATCAAATCCACCTGCGAAGCATTTCATTCCAAACCACATTCAACCACCGAACCATTTATCTTAATGAAGGAATTACTGACTTAAGCAGATAAAATTGACTTTGAAAATATTTTTCTTTCCTACTAAAGAAGCAAAACTCAGCCATCTGCTATTCAGTCGTATTATATAGTTATTTTATATAGACATTATTGATTTATAACTCCTTATCAAGTGTGACCCATATGATATTAGCCAATAGTAATAGAGTATATGGGAATATGCCCCCATTGTACTGCATGGTAGGTGGTCAAGTTCAAAGATAAAGGCGGGTGCTACTGATTATATTAATCATCTAGCCTATAAAAGCACACGGCCTTCTAGAGAGAGCTTGGTTTTGTGATACACAGTGCACTAGTAGTATTCGATACTGAATTACGTACCTTGATAGATACTTGAATGTAAAGTACTGTAGGCCGGCTCTACTTGGAAAGGACAGCAGGTCCGCCACTCTTGAAAAACCCTGCAAGGTAAACAGTCAAGTTGATACAAGTAAAGTGTTCTGATGATCCAGACATTTATAATATACATATCTGCTTGAGTAAACTTCACGAAGTACTGGAGATATACAAGATACTTTGTTGAGAAAAACCACTGATTTGTCAAAGGACGCGAAAATAAGGCAAATGGCATCAAAGGAAGGAAAAGTCAGAAAAAGTACTTTTTCCCAGTACAATAATGACTTTATCGAGAAAAAAGACGAGAAAACTAGCAATGAAGGAAGTATAGAGAATGAAATGCCACAGCAGAGGACGATGCAGCATGCCGATAGTGAACAGGAAGATCGCAGCGAGTATGAAGATACTGAATTAACAAGGAAACAACGAGAGGTACCTACAATTATTACAAAAACAAACAAAATAAACTGTACTGAGGAATCAATAAAAGATGGCGCCAGTAAGTCAGAAGATGATTGCGATGTCAAGCCGTCTCATTCTTACATCGCATTAATAGCAATGGCGATTCTTAGCTGTACGAACAAGAAAATGATTCTTGGAGATATCTATCAGTACATCTCTGACAACTTCCCATATTATCGCAATAAAGACAAAAGCTGGAGAAACAGTATTCGGCACAATCTATCGCTGAACGAGTGTTTTATCAAGGCAGGTAGAAGTGAAAATGGTAAGGGCAATTACTGGGCGATACACCCCGCAAACCTAGAAGATTTCTCTAATGGTGACTTTCGTAGAAGAAGAGCAAGGAGAAGAGTACGAAAGAGCAATACCTTTAAGTATTCTAGTGGGCTGTCAGGATATCCTTATCTGCGTGGCTACGCGCCGTTGTCAGCGTATTCTACGTTCCTGCCTTATAAAAGCGACGAGTATAATCGTATGTGTTCATCAGGCTACTCGTCCTACGCATTCACGTCTGGGAACAGAAAAAACTTTGCCATCGATAACATAATAACACCTAGCAGCTATAAGAACTATTATCCTGGCACTGGACACCATTCACTGATTTATGATAAACCTAACTTCGTTTCGCCGTACCCGATACCACCTCCTTCTTCCGATACCATGGATACGAAGAGATGTTCAGCGGCGCCTGCTGTCGTCGGCTGCACAGACAGAAACTTCAGTGGATCATACGCATCTTCTTTGTCAGCTCTAGCCTCGTTATCAAACAGTCATCGAGGGAATGAGAGTTGGCAAGATACTTTATGCAAGCTACAAGAAAATCTTAAAAAGCCTTCACGTGAAACTTAACTGATATTAGCTTTACTGTGAAAGTTTTCAAAAGTACAAAGGAACAGTTTTACAGGCGCCACTCTTAGGTGTAGTTTTTCCCACTTCGACAGGAAAAAGCTAGTTTAGGGAATTTAGTGGCTAGTTTCAGGGATAGCCTGAAGATATAGGCGAAGCTAATAAACAATGGAAAAAACAAAATTTCAACACACAGACAAACTTCCGATCACCTAGAGTGAAGGAAAATGAACTATTGAATCATACATTCAGTCAGATGTGATGAACTGAATCAATGAAACCCAACATCAGGTTATAGTATATTCACGCTCGAGTGCTGTATTGGATATGGGGTTTGAAGTGCTTGTAGTTTACTCGTCTAAATACATCGAAATACAAAATAGATTGTCAGAGATAAGTCAAAGAACATCTTGAATCAAGCAGCCAGCAAACACTTGATTCAGTGATTGAAGATGTGTTGTCGACTAACTCAAGCCATCGTATTTTAGTCTTGTTATAATTGATAGCGTGCTGTTGTTTACGCACTAGAAATATTTCAAACGGTTATTGCCTCCATCTCAGCCTGATAAGCGGTTTTCTCTCAAGCTTTTGATTAAGCTGTGTTTGTAAGCTAATTCTTGTTAATATCGCACATTCGTTCAAACTTGGCAAACAAGCTAAAGTTGTACGGTATCGAAGGCAGATCTAACCGCAGGCACTGCCAAGATCTGTTGGTCTTGATTAAGTTAAAAAAACTCATGCTTAGAACCATGTCAACCATAAAAACCTCCACAAGGAGTCTCTAGAATATATCTTGATTGGATTTGATGAGATTACACTCAAGTGTGCTTTGAAAACACACGTTATTGGAATAAGAACCGATTTAGCGGCGCGTGCACGCTCACTCCAATATATAAGGGGTTCTTTTTCGCTTGTAGTGTGAAGAGTGAACGCCCAAAGGTGTTCGGTTGCACCACGTTCTAGCACAATCTTTGCTCTACTTGGACATATAAGGTTGTTAGTAAAACCATTGATTAAGTCAATTGCGTATTTCAACTATAATAATCAATAAGAAATCCAAGCAAAGCTAACATCACTGAACAGAATATTTCAAAATCTCAGTATATAGTCTCTGCGTAATAACGAATTTACTTGTTTTCAAGCAAGGTAGTCGCATAGCTAGATGTGTAACTTGGAGTGAAGTTGGTTGATGTTATTAATAAGGCATTTGGTGGTGAATAAAGTTTATGTATAAAGACAGTCACACTGATATCTAGAATGAAATTATTCACCACAGTGACAAATAGAGAACAAACTTAACTTTGTGGTATCTCTTTCCTAAATGCACATCAATTATTTACATTATGACAGATGCTTGCCTATTTCAAAGAGATACCTTAAGGAATGTACATACCCTGGTTGCCAAATAACAGACATCTACATCTTCTCAAGTTTATTGATCTTCTTGCTTGCAGATCTAACAAGTATAAAAGGTAACGACTTTGTACAGTCCCTTATGATGAAGCATCAGTTTAAGCATCCTCGTCATAAACGGTGCATGAAACTGATTGTTGATTCTTTGAACAAAGGAATGCGACACATTCTTTTATCATGAATATTTGATGACAAACTTTTCAATTTAGGGCATTTTTATCGTCTATAAACGCTAGTTCCTATCTAATGTTTTACTTTAACTAATTTGCGATTTCGTAAATAATACTAAAGCAAGGAAACCGGTAATTCTATGTCATGGCTGTGGTTTTCGTCGCAAGAAAATCGCTAAAGATGATTGATTATGGGAAAAAGAGTTATTGCTGATGATATGTAGGGATATTAAGATGTCGACCATCGTAGGTGTGCTGGAAGACTATCTAGGCATACGACAGTACACTGTGAATACGAGTAGGATATCCACCCCTTGTCTATAAACTATTACATCAGTGTACAGGGTAAATCTCCATGAAGACAATATTAAGGACAACACCCAACGACATGTTTTATTTAACGTTTTACAACTATATCCTTAAGATACATTATTTTATAACATAACTTTGTGCTTCTGAATACAAAGGAAGAAATACAAATATAGCTATCATCTTCATCAGACACTATTATTACATAACAATTCTGACGTTTCTGGTTTTATATTTTTTCTACAAATGACTATCATATCTGTTATAAATGTTATTTACTATGACTTGGGCTTTCTTCAGTTTGACTGTATCATGAACGAATTGAAAAACTAATATCTCAATGTACATTTTAGAATAAATATATCATTCATACTTCAATTGACTCAAAAATTTAAGCGAGTCATAAAATCTATGACAATTTTGGCCGTACACCAATACTTGTTAAAACATTCAAATTTTCTCATTATGAAACTAATATTTATATACTTATAAACTATCCTATAATTATTTATCTATGTCATGATTTCCTAAAGCTAAAATTTTCTCTAAAAACATATTTGATACAGAAAGTACGAGACCACGTGTTGTTCCCTTGAATGTAATTTCTTTGTTTATCAGTAAGAAATGTCGGAAAAGATACATGCGTATCTAGGCTCTAAAGTATGGCAAAAGCCTTTATGTTCATGATCCCAGCTTGTTCCTAGAGACAACATCTTCACATTGAGTCATGAATATTTCATATTCTGCAGGCTCAATTTCTCCGCGTGATCACGTGATTAGACCCTAGTCGTGAACATGGTTCTGGGGGGTGCCTGTCTGCTGTCAAAACAGACCCTAGTCGTGAACATGGTTCTGGGGGTGCCTGGCTGCTGTCAAAACAGACCCTAGTTGTGAACATGGTTCTGGGGGGTGCCTGTCTGCTGTCAAAACAGACTCTGCTTGCAGTGTGGTCTAACAAACCTTGGCTCACAATCTTGACCTGTGGCATGTTCATGTAATAGAAAACTAAAAACTAAACATTTAGACTGTGTTGAGTTACTATCAGTTCTGGTACCTTACCCGAAAACACCATTACACAATAATACACAGCTGATGATTACAGCTACCAGGCCCACCACAACAGCTACACGTGTGATCATGTTTAGTCCAGGAAACACTGACAAGGAGTTTGCTCTTCTTTTGATGTCCTCTGATATTTGTTTATTCAATGTTCTTGTGTTCTTTATCTCAGTGCTGTAGGTTTCAGCACGTTTCCTGTACTTCTGTCTCTCTTCATCCATGTTCAGTTTGTGAAGTATATCTTCAATAGCTTGATAAGAGGTCTTAGTTTCTTCATGGATACCCAACACTGTCTCCTGTATTGATGCAGCTTTTCTGTATGCTTTAAGAGCATCTTTCATGTTTTCTTGCTCTACAAACAGCTCACCACGGCGGACATAGGATCTAGCTGTGTCTTGATGATCTCCTAGTAGCTTCTCACGAATTTCAAGTGACTGCTTGTTGCATTCAATGGCCTTTTCCAGACACCCAAGATCTTGATGACATTTGGACATGTAGCTAAGTAGTGATGCTACCCAGGGGTGGTCCCCTAAGTGCTCTTTGTACACTGGAAGGCATCGGGTTTCAAATATTTCGATGGCTTGAGTATGTTTGTTGCAGAAGCGGACAGCAACTATCCAAAACAGAGAATGATATCAGATACAGGTATAAGGTATATTTCACATTAAAAAATTGAACCAGTATTTTTCCACCCTTCATTCCTGAACACAGCATGTTGAAGCAAAGAAAACACAAAAGAAGAATAAAGTGATTTTGGCAGTTGCTAGCTATGTATTATACTGCTGACTGGAGAATAGTACATAAAAGCTGCTTTACTTGTTTTATCATATAGAAATGGTGTTACTTCTTTGCAAGGCAGGCTGTGCATGCAGGTAGCTTCAGCACCATGCTCTATATACTAATAGAGCACAGTTCTTAAGCAATCAGAGGGCAAGTAGTGAGGTGACAACAGTATTCGGCAATTAGTCCTCAAGCCCAAATGGGTTATTGACTCTTAGACAATTTTGGCTTGATGACTAATATTGTTTTTGGTAAAATCCAAATAGTCAGTCAAATATATAGATGCAAACAAATTTTGAATTAAGGTTAAATTTAATTTTTTGGTTTTCAAAAGCTGGCACTTTTTGCTACTAGTATGCTATAACTTATAGCCTAGTTGGAGCTCATCCAATCAGAATGCAGTATGATAGACCACTAGTAAATAATAATATGCACTGTTGTATATATTATATACTAATAATAATATACATTTACTTACTTGCTTTATCACAGTAGCTAGCAGCTAACAACACCTTGTTGCCAAGTCGACTACGGATAGGGATTGCATCATTTATCAATTTCTTCCCCTGCTCTGTATCTCCCTTGAAGGTGTAGCACAAGCCCAGCTTGCTAATGCAGTGTGCATATGCTTCAGTGCTCTGCATTCTCTTGAACAAATTCTTCTTCCATAGAGAGAGTGCGGTTTCAAAAGCATCAAATGCATCTTGGGAAAATTCACCATGGTTTACCTCACACATGAATCGAAAGCCACGAGAAACAAGGCATTCACTCATTCTTTTCTTGTCTTTAATTCTCTCTGCTTCATTATATAACTGTTCATAAACTGACAAACAGCAACTTGGAAGCAAGATTTTGCCCAACAGATTGATGCTTGCATTAAATGCATCAATACATCTCTTTTTCATCTCTTTATCATCGCACCTTAAGGCATTTTCAAGTGCTTGTAGTAGATTCATCTTGGAACAGCAGAATTGCTTTAGAGCCTTCTGACAGCCATCTTTGCTGACAAACTGGCAATGAAGCTTTTCTAATTCATCAAAATAGTAATTGCTGAATTTTTCTGTGGCTTTTTCCCCTTCTTTTTTGCACTTCATTCTTTCTTGTTCTTCTCTACAGAATGTCTGTATCAAGGGATGCAGACTGTAATTTTTGCCATCCAACTGTACTAAGGCACTGGCATGAAGAGAGGACAGCATGCCACTACATTTCACTTCATTTTTAAACAATATTTCATTAGCAATGTCCTCTGTGAATTGTGCAGGGAAACAGGACAATTGTACCAAACAAACTAGCTTCTCTCTTGAAAGACTGTCCAGAAAAACCTGGATAGAGTTGGTCAAGAACTTTATCTGCTCATTTTCTTTCAAGTTTAAAACATCATAAGGTTTCTTTTGTAAATTATTTGCAAGTTTTATTGGATTGTATCCATTCTTTACCAAACCAGCTGCAATTTTGATTAGAAGTGGAACACCAGCACATTGGATGGCAAGTTTCTTAGCTTCATGAATGTTTAAACTTGTGCCATCAGCCAAAGCAAGAAGGAGCTTCAAAGATGCTTCATCATCAAGCGGAAGAAGATTGATTGATTCATGTTCAAAGTATCTTGTATACATGCTTTTCCTTGTTCCCAAAAATATCTTCAGCTTCTTTGCATGGCTTCCCAGGAACTCAATGAAACTTTCAAAGTCACAAGAATGGCTTGAGTTTTGAATATCTTCAGCATTATCAAGGATGAGAAGGGTTTGAACCTCCAGCAACTTAAGTTGACTTTTTGTTAGCTGAACAACATCATCTGACGAAGGAATCTTTGTATCTATTGCTCTTAAGATATCACAGCACATCAAATGACAAGACTGCATTTTTTGAAGGGATACATAAATGACTCTGAACCCCTTATCTTTCATGGCATGACCAACATGAGTAGCTACACATGTCTTCCCAAACCCTGGTGGTGCTACGACTGCTACCATTGGCTTCTGACCTGTGACATACACCTTGGCTATCCTCTCTACTAAGTCATTTCGACCAATAAAATTAGTCTGCTTTACTCGTAGCCCACATGTCTGTGCTCCTGGACTTTCATTCACTCCATCTGTTTCATTACAGTTATCTGCAAAATATTTAGAGATGATTTTAATCAGTTGATGTGTACAGTGGCAGATTCAGGGTAGGGGGGTCATAGAATGGCTGCCACTCACAAAAAGTTAGCATGATCTGGGGTTGAACCACCCTTTGATCTGCTACTGGACGTGTAAATGATTGCATGACACCAACAATTACATGGGTACACTGTAGGTAGGGGTGAGCAGAAATCATGCATTACATTGAAGAGCTAGAATCAAGTGTGGTATACTGGTAGTGCACTCGCCTCTCACATGTGGGGTCTCAGATTTGATTTCTGGAATCATTATCTCAAGTGAGTAGAGATCTGATTCAAGGGTATTGACCTCAGTTCTCCACCCCCCACAAACAGCTAGAAGCTAAATTTCAAATTTATCGGAGTTAACCATGCCCTGATCAGCCCAGAGTTTGTTTCATAATTGGACAAAATTAATAATTTTGAAGGTAGCAAATGATTTGCACCATCCCTGACCTCCCCCCCCCCCCCCCCCCCCCCCCCCCCCCTGAAAAAGACTACTTTCAAACACAATAGATAGCTACGTAAATGTATTCTTTGTTTGCAATAGACGTCATAGCCACCATGTTGGAAGAATTTGACAAAAGATTTTTCAATGAATTCTTTTGTTATATCTTCCAACATGGCGGACATCCCTTTTGTTATTGTGCTCTCTTGGGATTGATTGCAAACCAAGAATATTCAAGTTCAAATTTCATTGTTATTTTAAGAATTATTCAACACTTACTGTCGATAAACTTCTGAAGTTCGTTCTTTATTAAGTCCACTCTATGAATGTTGGTTAAAAGTTTTTCGAGGTATCCTGTGTTTTCCAGGCTGAGTTTTCCTGCTTCGATAAGTTTTTCAAACAAATCGCGTGTTGTGGTTTTGTTGTTAACACCAGGAATATCATCTTTGCATAAAAACTTCAACTTTTCGAATTCTTCGGGCGTAAGATGATCTGCTAGGTCCAAAAGTAGAGCTCTGAATCGATTTTCTGGCGTTCTAACAGGCATTTTGGAAAATATTCCAACGAAACTCCAAATGGATGCGTGGAGAATAAGAACGTTCAAAGATCATATCGTGTTGAACTCGGCTTGGAACGAACCAAAATCAAAAATACACACTTTATCATCTTTATAAAAAATATATTACACTTCTACAAAGTATAAAGAATGACAAAATGTTTAAAAACCTGAATGAACAGCTAATAAAGGGACATTCCCACTATATGAAGCCACGAAGTGACTAAACCATCCTGCTTTTACGAGAAAAACACTCAAGTCACGTGGGACAGCGCTCACGCTGAACAACAACAATATATATCATACAAAACTACGTAATTTTAACATAAGCGAAAAATTAGCCCTCCAGCTAATTTTTATTCCATATCAATCCATTAGTCTAAAATAATTTTACGAACGTTTCGTTTTTACATTTAAAATTTTTAGAAAAATAGAATATCGATGGTTATGCTTGGGATGCCTGTGGTAAGTTAAATCAGTACTGTTGACCAGCGGAGATGTCCATGGGGAGGTGAAATAAGATTCGAATGTGGATCAAGATATTCCTTCAAAAATGGTTAAACTAAACGTGTCGATGTTGAGGTATCTTTCCAGAGATCACTTTAGGGTTTTAACAGCAGTAAGTATCTATACTTTTAAACATGTCGATCGTATTAAAAATGGCTTACGAAAGTCACGCCATTAAAGCCCTATATAGAAATCGTAAATTGTTAATTAAGCTTATTTACCTTATTATTTCTTATCTTGATTTCTTTTACAGTACTTTACAAATAATCTATCAGGTTTAAAATATACCGTAGGAGAAAGGATATTATTTGATTAATGAGAATAAACATATATTATTGTTTTTCTACTTTATTTAATTATTTATTTTATTATGATTCTTCCATATTAATACTTATCACTACAGGTTGAGATGGGTATGAAGAACCATGAGCTAGTCCCTGCTTCACTTGTTGCATCTATAGCTGCCCTCAAGCATGGTGGCTGTTACAAAATCCTCAGAGAACTTGTGAAGCACAAACTGATAGCTTATGACAATGGAAAAGGTTGGTTGGTATATTGTTGGTGATAATTCCTCAATAGAACAATTCGGTATCATTTGTTTTGATTTAACTTCATGTGAGTAGATTTTGTTTGATTCATGTGTATCGTTGTCTCCTCTTGTCACAATGGTTTGTGGGTGGCATGGATGGCTTGTGTTGTTCACCCCTGGGGTTGTGGTTTTGATTTCCGGCTTAGTCAATATAATTTTTCTCCTTGTTACAAGTACATACTGATTGATATGGCAATGTACACGTGCGTGGAGTTGTATTAAACCTCACAGAAGAGCCCATCACAAGGAGTAGAGGTTGTGACTGTTGTATGCAATCATTTTATTTTATTTTGTGTTGCTAGCTGTTGGATACAAATTGACCTATGGTGGGTATGATTACCTTGCTCTAAAGGCGCTGTCCGCTCATGATATTATACATTCAGTTGGAAATCAAATTGGCATGGGAAAAGAGTCAGGTATGTTAACTGCCAATCAATATTAATTAAAATATGTGACACCTTTAATGTTACTATGGAAACTGAGAAACCTTAAAGAGCAATCAATAAAAATCTTTAAACTTTAACAGTGTGAATAACTTTTTGCAGATATTTATATTGTCGCAAATGAAGAAGGACAGCAATTTGCTCTCAAGCTGCACAGGTAATACATAACTGTTATTAATGCTGAGTAGAAATTGATTTCGGGAGGCTTGAGTGTAGTCAGGGGGGATGAGGGGGGGGGGGGGGGGGGGGGGGGGGGGGGGGGGGGGGGGGGTAACCATAAAGGTGGGAATGGGGAATGTTAATTTCTTGACAGGTATAAATGATTTGGTGTCAGAGGGTAGTTGATGAGTAATACTTTGATTGTAAGATGTGATGATCAATGTTAAAAGTATCGCAAGGAGACATGAGAAAGAGGCAATAATGTGGCTATTGCCTCAACCCCATACTGACCTACAATACAGCAATCATTACCTCACTAAATCAAACTAATGTGTACTTCATTACAAGCTGACGTGTGTGGATTGACATGACCTACCCATATTACCCTATAAAATCATCATATTTCCATGTTACAATTATACATCATAATATCATTGACACTTTATAATGACATTATTAACAGCAAGATTATGAATCAGGTTAGGAAGAACATCATTTAGAAAACTCAAAGAAAAAAGAGACTACCTGAAGAAACGACAAAATTCCTCTTGGTTATACCTTTCTCGTCTGGCAGCCATGAAAGAGTATGCTTACTTAAAGGTAGTGCTATCAAAACACACTGTTAATTCCTCCTAACTCCCTGGTTTATTTGTTTTATTTGTGATGTTGAGCACAGGAATTGAAATGAGACCCCATACTTCGATTTAATTCCATTAAATCAGTTATTGTTGAATTTATGTTTAAAAGTATCATTTGTTTTTGTTCATAGGTGCTGCATGATAATCAGTACCCCGTGCCAAAACCAGTTGATTACAACAGACATGCTGTGGTGATGCAACTTGTTGATGGCTACCCTTTGTAAGGACAATATTATCAATCATTTATCAATAAAAATAATATTAATTAATAGTATTGATTATAGTTAGTTTACTTACCTTTTGTTTTACTCTTTTCATTTCTAGATGTCAAGTTCGTGAGTTAGAAAACCCTGGTGCAGTATTCAGTGATATGATGGATCTGATTGTCCGTCTTGCTGGCTTTGGCTTAATTCATTGTGATTTTAATGAATTCAATTTAATATTAAATGGCAAAGATCAGGTGACCGTTATTGATTTCCCACAGATGGTTTCAACATCACATCTCAATGCTCAATGGTAATGTCCTTTATGCTGGTATATCCAGAATAATACTGTTTTTTAACCTTGATCAAATAGTCACTACCAAACTCTTCTTGATGGGCCACCTTTAGGAAAAAACTACTTCTGTAGTTTTCAGTATTAGTAATATAATCCTAATAATAATTGATTATTAATGTAATCCTAATGATGATTCATTATAAATTAAATGTAATCTTAATGATTATTGGTTGGTTTCCAGGTACTTTGACCGAGACGTTCAGTGCATACGAGACTTTTTCTTGCGGCGATTTAATTTTGAGGGTGAAGCCTACCCAAAGTTTTCAGATATAGTGTAAGTTTACTGTGATTGAGACACTGTTTTTACACTACTTATGATAATAAAGGTAGGAAACATGATTTTTCAGGCGTTCCCAAAATCTAGATGTTGAAATAGCAGCCAGTGGTTTTACGAAGGAAATGGACAAGACATTTGAAGAGGTAAGACTAAAGCATTCCTTCAAGTATTGTATGTAATGTTCAAGAAATTCCTATCATGGTAACATGACATCATACTCATGCACTTTATATAGACAAACTGTATGAATATCTTGATAAACAGTCAATATGTATTGAACATTACAGGAAGCTGCAGCAGCACTTGGAACAATGCGCAAAGAACAAGAACATCTGGAAGAAAGCCCAATGGAAGAAGTTGTTGATGATGATGATGTTGATGATGATGATGATTTAGAATTGAAACCAGAATCAGGTAAATCCATTTTCTTGAGCGTAGCAACATGCAGTTGAATGAGGTTGAAAGGCTATGAGTGACAGTAGACAAGATGAATGAGCGACCAGGTTTCATATGTAGGGCTTATTGGTAATTTAAGTTTGAAAGTTGGTTGTTTTGTTTCTATCCCCACCAGAAACCAGTTGTAGGGATCATTTATCACCTTGTGAAGATGAGAAAAAGACTAGTGGAACAACAGAAGAAAGAGTAGCAACTACAACACCTAACACGACCACACTAGAAGCAACAACACAAGCAACAGAAGATGGCAATCAAGATCAAAGCGACGAATCTGACCTTGAGGACTTGAGTAACATTAACCGAACTCATAGACCATACCGTGATGTCAATGATGATGTAATGGATCATGATGGCACTGATGATGTCACAACAGAGACACCTGTACTGTCTACTATTGACTCTGTTGAAGTGAGAAAAAGAGTTAAAAAGAGTCTGATGAAGAAACAGCAAATGGCTAGACGAAGGAAAAAAGGGGAGGAAGGAGCTATGACAAGAAGTAGAAGAGAGAAAAGAGATGATGTGAAGCAAAGTGTGCATGCATATAACAGTGGATGGTAGTGGTATGTTACCTGCATGACACGGAGGGAGGAAGGAGCTATGACAAGAAGTAGAAGAGAGAAAAGAGATGATGTGAAGCAAAGTGTGCATGCATATAACAGTGGATGGTAGCTGTATTATACCTGCATGACACGGAGGGAGGAAGGAGCTATGACAAGAAGTAGAAGAGAGAAAAGAGATGATGTGAAGGAAGGTGTACATGCATATAACAGTGAATGGGAAATGCTTAAGACAAAAGGGCTTACCCTCTCAACCAATAATCGTGCACCCTTAAGTCAGAGCAAACCTGAAGTCTTGGCAGAATTAAGGAGAGAGAAAAAGAGATTTAAGGATTGTATCATACAATATGAATATAAAAATCTTTTATATATCTATGGTGTTACATCTCTGTTATCTACATTGTTTTTACTCTTATTACAACTTATTACAAAACATTTGTTATTTTAGTTGAGGGAACGACAGTTAATCCCAAACGAATTATCAATCTAACCCTACAAAACCTTTTACTATACCTTTAATATTTTACAGACACCCAGTTTTAATGTGCAGTCTTGGGTGGTTACACGTGATGTCATAGCTGCTATGTTAGATGAATTATCAAAACATTCTTGCTGATTTTCTTGTTGTATCATCCAACATTGCCCACATGTTTTTTCTCCTATCAAATCTCGCATGGCAATGGCTATTATGCTTATATGTCATATATTTATCATTCTACATTATTTTGGTATATGATGTTATGTTTGGATAAACATTTCACACAGTATTAATAAACACTTGACATTTTCAAAAGCTAATCCAATTACTTTTACAATGTAAAATTTAGGAGCTTGATAAGAATGTTATCTTGTATAAGAATGTTTAATATTTTGAATGATGTACTTAAGTAAAGAATGTTAGCTTTATACAAGTTTCCAATGACTTCCTGATTACTTAGATCAAGATTTTTTGTTCAAAGTCCTATCTTGTGGAGATGGGATGTAATATCACAATGGGGATAGCATCTCTAACACCTCACTTGATGATGTCATTCTGTTACCAAGGATACTACATCTCCCCATCATTCGGCAGTGATCTGTGCTTTGTATTCTCTTTATCTCTCTCTTGGTGGCCCAGATATCTTCTGGTGAGGCCAATACCTTGGATTGAATACGGAGTGTGGTTTGCAACATTTCCACAGCTTCCTGTGGCTTGCCAAGCTTCTCAAGGGTTTCCGCGAGGGAGGAAAATGAGCGTGCAGTATCCTGATGGTTAGTGGTCAGCAAATGTTTGCGCATGTCAAGTGCATGTTGCTTATAATAAGCTGCCTTTGGGTGGTCCTCTAATTTATGGTATGCATCACCAATGTACTGTAGTAAGGATGCAGTGAAGGGATGTCTGTTCATGATACGGCGATAACCCTCCAGGCAAATAGTTACCCAGATTTTAACTGCAGCTTTAAAGTTGTTATTGGTATAGAACGCCACTGGGAAGAGAAAAAAATAGGGCTAAGAAGCCATGCATTGTTATATACAGATACAATTAATTGATCCAAAGAATATCCCGAAAAATATTATTAACAACAAGTTCTTTTAACTGGAAGGAAGAAGCATTTGAAAGGACATGCTTTCTCAACTAATGTAATCATCAAGTGAAAAAGACGAAAACTAAACCCTGTAAAAACGTTAGTAAAGCTACAGACACATGGTGCAATTGATGTTGCGAGCAACGTTGCTGAAGTAGAAAACTATCCTACTTAAGCAACATTGCCTGCAATGTTGCACCTTGTCTTTGCCTTAACATTACTGACATTTTGTACATAAGTCCATTGGAATTGTATATACAACAGGGCAGTCTCAACTAGTAACCACTAGTCATAGAGTACAAACACTATAAGTGTGCAACATAAATACCACTAAATACTGCTAAATTATGCTAATCCTATTGTTTAATTAGCACTATTTACTACTAAATAGTGCAAAGTGTTACACACTTTTAGTGTTTGTACACTATTATGTAGTGTCATGCTAGAAGTAAGGTTATTTATTTATTTATTATTTTATCATTTATCTATCTTATTTTATTTATTTATTTATTTATTTTATTTTACTATTTAATTATTATTATTCTCAGGGCCACTGGGTTATAAGTATGATTTCTTCTATTATGACTGTCTTGAAGTAAAAGTTTATTCAAGTGAAACCAACAGCCAGTTTGACTTACTTGCAAGGTCACAGTAGCCTCCACAAATCAGCATTTCTCTGATGGCTCCACCCAGCCTTGCATGGAGTCTCTTTCTGATAATGATCCCCCATACGATCATCTGCACACCAAGTTTTACGTTTCCCTGCCTGGTATGGCACAACCCAAGCTTGCTGGCACAGTGGGCTGTTTCTTCACTCTCTGGTAAATGATGAAATCTTTGTAGATTATACGCGTCAACCAGGAATTTAAAGGCTTTGGTGGAGTTTTCTTTGCCATGATAACAAAGACTCTTGAAGCCAAGAGATGTCAAGCAATCAGTGTAGCGCTTCATGTCTTTCTTAGCATCTGCTATGTCAGTAAATCCCCCATAAATCTTTTCAAATTCCTCGATATTTAAGCACTTTGCAAGGAGACTTATGACTTCTGTGGATACGTCAATGGCTGGCTCGTGTTGGTGCTGGATGGCAAGGGACAAGGCATGAATGATATTCTTCTTGTTCAACCAATACTTATCAAGAGCATCTTTTCCATCATTGCTGATGAACAAGGCATTTATCTCTTGAAGAAATTTCAAATACCAACCAATAAATGTATAAACAGCTTTGTTGTAGCTCTCCAAGACGACTGTATCCATTCTGGATTTGCAAACAGACTGTACAACATTGTGAAGCTGGTAGGTCTTTTTTTCAGGGTCATGCTTCACAAGAGCATAGTTCATAAGTTGGCATATTTTGCTTGGAATGTTTGCTCTCTCTGCATTATTATCATTGAGAAAGAGCAATCTTGCTTCTTCAAGGGTAAAAGATGTTGGAAACACTGCCAAGTGTGCTAAAACTTCTTTAAGGCTTCCAGGGAGCCGAGAAAAGAAGACTTTCATGCATTCAAAGTGAGCACCATCTTTCTCCAGAAGTTGCTGCGGGTTAGATTCAAGTTCTTGTATCAGTGATATAATATCAATACCATTCCTGACTTGCGATGCTGCTATTTCCAAGTATAAAGGAATACCCATGCATGCCTTACACAACTGCTTTGCTTGTATACTTGGGATAGGCATGTTAAGCACATACTTCTTGAACAACGTTAAAGATTCTTCATCATTGAGAGGTTCCAGTGGAATGGCTTCAGCATGGAAAGGATAACACATGGGCCATGTAAGCACTTGAAAAGTTGTTGTTACAAGAGTACACAAGTTGTTGGCAGACTCTCCTATCTTCTTCAGGAACTCCAGAAAACTTGTATTCTCTTTCTCCTGGACATTCTCAGTATTGTCGAGGATCAATACAGTCTTGTTAAACAAGGACTTCAAGAACTGTTGCAGCTGAAGAACAGGTTTAGTTGAGGCAGTGATCCCTAGTGTCTCAAGGATGAGTACTGAAGCCTCATAGAGGGTGGTAACTTCCTTTAAGCTTAAGTACAAGACAATAAAGCCTTGGTTTTCTAGTATGTGACCAATGATGATCGTAGCCTCAGACTTTCCATAACCAGGGGCACCACTTACAGCTACCAAATGACACCCTGTGTTCACATACGATATCACTTTTTTACAGAATTTTGTACGTCCAACAAAATTGACATGCTGACAACGAAGGCATGCTGCTTTAAGATTTATTTCACCTGTGATATAAACAATAGAAGATGTTGTAAGCATACACAAACACAACACAGAGCTGAATATAAGATGTTTCTAACTAATGATATGGTGAGAGAGCGCAGTGGCTTGTTAAAAAGGCGGGGTATTAATATACTCTCATTGGAATGACATCCGGATCCCCTAATCTCATAAAAACTTAGAACGTATATTTTACAACCACCACTCCCCATTTGGGCTCTTCTGTGAGGTTCCCTCCACACACACAACAACTACATTTTATTTTTACGACACTCAATTCCAACTCACATGTTGATTTTTACGGAGGGAAGAAACCGGAGAACCCGAAAACCCTCGTGGCAAGGAAGAGAACAACAAACAAACTCGACTAACATGATCCAGTCTGAGCTGGGGCTCGAATGGACCAATACGAAAACGGCTATTCATAATAAGGACTATCATTAAAAACTTTATTTAACGAAAGGAGCTTGTTAAGATGTTAAGAGTGGAAAACGTTTAGTAGTAAACGCGTGACAACCAAATTACCCACCCAAGCAAACGATTACTTTGTACTTTAACACCTTTGACAATGATACCCGAGGAGATGAAAATCATCCGGGAATAGATCATAAACGACAGCTGATGTTTACGGTAACAGAATTTGTTATCTTTTTACATTCAAATGAGAGAATAGTAAATAATGAAGTCTTGAATTTAATGGTTCAAGTACATGCAACAGCAAAAGTCTTACCTGCCGAAGGAGAAGAAGAAGCAGACGGAGGGACCAGTAATTCAGCAAGATGTCTTTGAGTCTCCTTTAGCAACTCATAGAAGCGAGGGAAAGCATTAGGTCCACACTTAGGAAGCAATTCAAGCAAGGTTTCAGCTTTTCGTTCAGGACTCGAGCACGCTTTGACCTCATTTACATCTTCTTGATCAAAGATCGCGACAGCAAAAAGACCCGAAGCTATTCTTTCAGCCTTCAACTCCTTCCTCAAAACGATTCGATTTTTTCGCAAGATTTCACTGTGGTGTTTCTCCATTTGAATGAAATCAAAATTTCTGAATTCAAGAATAGAAATTTTGATTCAAGGCATGGCGCTGCCCTGTCTCGAGGTTTTGGTCTATTCTTTATTTTGATTCCTGGAAAAACAACCGGAAATACGTCACATCAAGCGTTCTCGGAATTCCCCTGAAGTAGCTTCCTGTTACTAAGAATAGCTCATGCTGTAATACATAGACAACAAGTTGTCCAACATTTTGAGGAGTGCTTTTGATGCTTTTCATAAGGAAAAACAAAACATGATTATTAAAGACACAAATTTATCAATAAAAAAATATTGCTGAATAAAAAGAGGATCAAATATTGTTGAATAAAATGGCAATTACACAGGTAACCCAAGAAAAAGAATACTCCGGATCATGAGGTTCTGACTTAAGTCAACCGAAAAAATAAAGGGTTTTGTTTAAGATTTAAAAATCAACAGCTTTCAGCCTTTGAAGTTAAATTATAAGCCATTCAAGTGCTAATTGATTAATACCTGTCATGGTATTGTTATATGAGCCAATAGGAGCGTGGCTTATACATTGCCCTGACGACTGACTTAGTTTACACCAAGAGAGCCAGTCTTTTCATCAGTATCATTTTAAGCAAAAGAATAATTGTAACCATAAGTCAAGAAGATAATTCCTGAGCTAGTACTTTACTCTACAAGCTAGTAATAGTCTTGTAGCTTCGTATTTAGCCAAGTCTTCTAAGTAATTCCATAGCATAGTTCATTATTATCATTTATCACCATGCCACAGTGGATTGAATTGCCTCCAAACTTGGTCCCTTCTACACAGACATATGGTAAATCTATCTATGCTACTGACTACTCTAGTAAAAGACCTGGTTTTCAAATCCATCTTCAAAAGGCAGCCAGAGGATCTAGGAGCTTCCATCATCCACGCGTTCCAAAGGTAAGATGATTTGCTTAATTTATTTGATTAACTCGAATTCAAAATTATTTCAAATACATATTAACATTATTAACCCTAAAACGAGCTAAGATATTGGATATGTTTTTAGTTTGTTAATTTTTGCTTACATCGTTCAAAGGATCCAAATAGAAGCTCCATGCGAGCCAGTCAGACAGGCAACTACATGAGTTTCAAGGACGAATACGATAAAAACCTGGCAAAAAAGACCGGCAAAACTACCTTGAGTTTACAGTACAAAACACCTAGAGAAGAGACTCCTGAAAGCAAAGGTAATGTTGGTAAAACAGACCTTCGTTCTCTGTACATCACATATAGTTCCATCAATAATACAAAAAAGTCAAAAGCTTGGTGTGAGGCAGCAGCGTGTTTCTTTTGTCAAAGTATAAAACAATTAGCACTTTTACAGTAAAGTTTAACAGTAAGAGACTGTCTAGATTAATCTCTCAAGACCTGTGATGAACTACACAGCTGAAGATAAAATCATCAATTATCATGGTTAACATTTAGAAGCGTGACAATCGAGAAAAGATTTCTCATTTACAAGTTGCACGCAAGTTAACTAAATTAATGTTAAAAAGTAGGCAGTAGTTAGCGTGACAATATTCAATCTAGTAGTTGCTGCGAGACAAAGAATTCCGTAGGCGTACATTACAGTGTTGCTGCATTTTTGAGTTATATATTTTTGGTCCCTGAATTTCAAACAATCTTATTCTCTTCGCTCCTATTAAATTTTTATCAATTATTGTAAAGTTGGTTTAATATTTTATCAAATGTTGCTATATATATTTAAGAAGACGTTTGTTTTTTTATTCACTCGTGGTATGCAAGTCCTTTTCGCAGGTGTTTAATTATATTGACATTGGCTAGAGTAAGTTGTTTATGGGTGAATAATCCGACTGTCAAACTGGTAATCTTTACTGTGGCTTTTAATTGGAGCCGAGCTTGAAAACTAAAGAGTTTTTTTCATTGGATGAATTGTGAATCCATTTAAATTGTCCATGCCACACTGCCTTCTAACTACTAGATATTCAAATGAAAAGTTCTCCAAACCTTAGTAAGTTTTTTTCGAGCTGTTAAAAGGTTTTCTAAAACAAGAAAACTGGATACTTCAAGAAAATAACAAAACGATCAGTCGCTATGTCAACGAAAAAATGCCCAATTTAAAAGTTGTGGTCAATCAAAGACAAAGGGATGCAATAATGCAGTATAACTATTTTTTCCCTATTTCTGCCTAGTCTTCTTCATTTAGTCTCATACTGTGCCTTTTCCCGTAGGGTCAGAAGTATATAGAGAGGTTCTTTCAGAGTATGTCAAACCTAGTCTCAATTTAGTGCGACAAGCCTGGAAGGGAGAGACGTCTGCAGTCAAAAGAGACAGAGGTATTGTTGAGAAAGACTTATGACGTCAATGCAGTGTATTCCAATAGTTCCCTGTTTCCTAATGATGACGTCATAATCACATTCATTTACAGATCGCATGTATGGCTTGTCGGGAAAAAAGGTTGTCATGATTCCCGGGCCTCCTAAATTTGAGGTATGTATGAACCTGTTTTTATCTTCTGCGTACAGTACAGTTAGCGTGCGTCACATCCGGTCAATATCCCGCTAAAATTTAATTATTTTTATTACATGTTAATGAAGTTGATTGATTGATTGACTTTCATAAACCGGGTTATTGACCAGATTTGACGCAGACTAAATAGTAAAGGGTGTAAAAAAGAATTAGACGTTAAGGAGTTGATTGTTTTTTACAGGAAGGCAAGAAGACACCAACAGGTCGTATCTTACCGGGTATGAAGAGCTGGCTAACCAAGTCCAATGAATACGGTACAAAACACAATGTATAACCAATGATTACCTACCATCACCTACTATTATATCACAGCCACATCACAATTCCTAAAGAATATTTTCCCACGGTCAAATCTCATTGTGGAGATGTTTGAGGGCCTGTCTTTTTATCTTTCTCCAGAAAAAGCTGTAGTGTATAATTTTATGGACCACGTTGCCAAGGCGACTACCAAGAGGCCTGATTTTCCCACTCGACCCAGTACACCTCAGCCTACCAAGTCAACATTTGCTAATGAGTACTTTTACAAGCAGCGAACGAATAGTGCGCAATCACAAAGGGTAACAGAGCGAATGGAACTCCCTCCGCGACCAAAGACCGTTCATTCGTTCAGAAACGAAGCTAACGAAGCGACTGAAGAGCAAATGAAACAAGATGAACAACCCAAGGAGCATGCGCACGAGCATGGTAGTCACGTGCACCATACCGAAGGGAAATGTGATTACTGTGACTATATGAGAGTCAAGAAGTTACTGGAGTACCTGAATAGGTGAGTGACTAGCTATAATATTATCTATATCACACAGTAATCAATGGGACACTGCGCAGGCACCGTCGCTCTCGTCTTGGATGGACAAGGTACGGCATAGCATATCATGACACGGTACGACGTGGAAACGAAACAGCACCACCGTCACGACCTTAACAGCAAGTCCTGATCGTCAAGATTCTTTAGTCGTACAAAGTTAATAAAAGGTTTTGGTAAAACGGCATACCGTGCCGTGACCTTGCCCAGCATTCTAATCGGATGTTCAGTAATCTAACAAATTAGTTCAGTAACCTAAAGAATACAACAAGATTTACGAACTTGATGACTTTATTTTATAAAACGAATGCAGAAACTTCCAAGATTCTTACAGAATGTATCGTTTTTAACGTCCAACAGGCACGACCCTCATCTTGGTGAAGCAACTCTAAGGCATCTTTTACGACCACGTGTTTACCCCACCCACACCTACCCAAGCTATGAAGACTTTGA